TCTCCGCTGCGCGGAGCCGATACGACGAGCGCCCAGACGTGGTCGCCTTGTTCCTCTACCGCCCTCACCTCCGAGTGCGCGCCTCATCCACCGCCCCGGACCACCTCGTCCACGGAGCGCCCGCTCTTCCCCTTCCCGCAGCCGGCCGCTGACGCCCTCCTGAGCCAACTCTCGCACGACACCCTTGCTTTCGTCCCCAAACACGCCCTGCACCCTCACTTCTGGCTCCTCTTCACCGAATGGCTCTCCCACCGCTGCTCCGACTGATACATGTACGCAGCCGGCCCCGGCCTCGACCGCACCCCGGTCGGCCGCTCGGCCCTCTTGGAGTCCAACTGGATTCAAGCCCCGTGGAAAGTTCGGTTCTCCAAGTTCCTGCACGAGTACAAGGTCGCCGTTTGTAGCTGTAGGGGGTGTAGGGGCCCAGGGGGCGCGGGCGCGGCGTACAGTGGCGGTTTCGTCAATGTCAAGGAAAACGGCGGGCAGCAGAGCAAGGGCGACGTCGGACCGCGCGTGAGTGGACGACTTGCCTAGTGAAATTTAGTGCGTTTTCCCTGATTTTGTTTGTAACTGACTGCAACGGGAGCGTTGAGTTTGATCTAGTTGGATAATAAGGTAAAGATGTTGCGAGATAAAATTGACACAAATGTGAGAGTGAGCTGGCGGTGAGATTAGTACGAGATGAATGTGGAATAACAAAACTGTTAGGTCTTATTCGTTTTCAAACGGGATAACGCGCCCCAAAATGGCCTCCTCCCTAATCGAGGCGAGCTTCCTCGGGATTTCCTTAAACACCTTCCGCTCGACCAAGTACATAGGGAAGAGTGGAAACGGCATGGCGACGAGTTCATAATCGAGTCTCACTCCCCCCTCGACCTCGCTAACCGAATAACTCCGGACAAACTCCGAAAAGTCTCTCCCCTCGACCCTCGAGAAGGAAATAAATCTGTCCTCCTCCCTCTCGTGCACCTGGACCAGCATGCGCGATCTGAGTCCGAGCTTGTTCGAAATGATGCCGACCTGGTCCAGATACACGACGCCATCGCGGTCCTCGACGGTGCTGGACACGATGTTAGGCATGTAGCGCTCGATGCGGTCGTACGACGTGAGGACGCGCCACACGCGCGCAGGCGTGGCCGCGATGTCGACGCCGCCAACCACGCGGCGGCGGCGGCGGCCCAGTGACTCCGCGCGCAGCGAGACCTTGACGGGGTGGTGCCGGTCCGCCAGCACGGTGGACGGCACCCGGATCACCTCGTCCTTGAGGACGCCGGCCGCGGAAGTCGCGCAGAGAGGGAGATGGGGGGCCGCCACGCGGCGCGCCGTGCAGCAAGGCGTGGCCGCCACGCAGTTGCGCCGGCGCGCGTGGGCCAGCAGCGGCGGGCGCGCGGAGAGACGGACGGGGAGAGAGGCTTGGAAAGCAGGGCGCCGAGACATTGTGGGGTGAGGTGCGCATGAAGGGCGGGAGAGAGGGAGTGCTCGTTGTCGAAGGTGAGGGTCGCGGGAGAGGGCTTTGAGGACTTTGGGCGTTGACGGTGAGAGCACCGCCAGGTGCGGTGGGGGACGCGGAGATTGACTGTCGGCCGTGGCCCGGTAAGAGGGGGCGCGTTTGCAGTCCCACGGTGGACGCCTCAACCAAGCCCTCAGGCGGTATCCTCCGCCGCCACTGCCGTCGCTTGTAATTTTCCCACGTAATTTCTTTCCACGCCCTCATTCCATCCTTCTCATGACGCGCAATCCTCCTTTCTCCCTCGTCCGCCGCCTTCTATCTTCTCGTAATTCCTGGCCTCTTTTCCTCCACTCCCCTCCATCCCTCACATACCTCCTTTCTGCACAGTCTCCCTGCTTCCAGCCGCCTTCACGCCTCAACCCCAAACAACCCCAAATATCTGCGTGAGCATGCGGGAGCCCGCTTCGCCGCAGTGGGTACCGTAGACGCGGTGCCATTGAACGAAGCGAACATGTGTTCTTTCTCCAGGAGGCCTGTGCAGGCTCGTAGTGGAGAGAAGGGTCGCTAACCGAGGCGAAGGCGAGTTCGAGATCTCACAAACGGACGCTGCCCTTTACTCTCACTATCTTCCATTACGCATGCACCCGCGGCAAGTTCTCCACGTCTGTTCTTGGATCCCGCCAAATTACGGCGCGTCCGTGCGCGCGTCTCCTCCGCAGCTTATTCGGGGCGGCGGCAAGTGCCACAAAAGCCGAGGCGCTTCCTGCGCTTACAGTGGACGATATTACAGGTCTCCTAGGCGTCTAGGACGCGGCGGCAGAGCTTGGCGGCGCCGCCGCGACCGGCGCACGGGCCGCGGAGCACCTCCTGGCGCACGCACTCGCAAACGTCCAGCCCGAGCATCGTCTCCGCGAACGGGACGCACAGGAGTAAGGGGGCAACGAGGAGGAAGACAGACTTAACCATGGTGAGGGCTGAGATGAGGTGAAGGTGCCACTGAGGTTGGATACGGCTGGAGAGTGCTGGAAACTGCTGAAGATAGGCTATGTATGAAGGTGGGGGTTGGAGCGAGGTTCGCGAGTGTCGCTATCGCTATTTATCGCACACGTCCGGTCGCCTTCTTCCCGTCGTAGGCCGGCTTAAAGCAAGCTTGTGCAAGTTTAAGCGGCTAGTGGTGCGGGCTGGTTTTCTGCAACCGTGGTGTAGGGGAATCCGAAAGACGGAAGCACTTGCGATGTTGAATTTTTGCGAGCGTGTTTGAGCCAAACCTGCGTGGACTGTTCCCGAAAAGCGTCCTTACCAGCTGGGGCATGCCAAACTCGAGGATCCTGCAATTGTACGGGACCTTATTCAGGCCGAAAAGCTTGAGCTCCGGGCGGTTTTCGCGAAGACCGAGCAGATCTGCAGCGAGCCACTGGACGTTGTCCTGGGTGGGAAAGAGGACGACCAATGCGCCTTGCGCGAGATCCCGGGCGCTGAGGTCGCACACGACGGGAACGGCAAAGAACGGGAGCGGAAGGATGACAAAGCGGGTTTTCTCAAGGGCGACGGTGGGGGAGGCGGTCAAGAGATGCAGCTTGCCCGTGACCGTGGAGCCGTCCGGCTGGTCTAGGGTGCTGCCGGTCGAGGCGGATAGGCGCTCGGCCTTGTACTGGTGAGCCCGAATTCACAACTTGTAAACTATGAATCCCTAATGCCTGCATCTCGCTTCTGCTTCTTGAACTTGTTGATAGCCTCTTCCAAACCCTGCTGACACATCTGAATTATGCGTTCACCAGCCCCAGCATCCTTTACTCGTTTGAGGCGCAGAGTTCGCTTTTGGATCATTTCGTACCAGTCTTCGTTAACCATTTCGTCGGAGAGAGGCATGGGATGTTTTCCTGCCCCCTCTGTCGTACTATGCGCGCTGCCAAGCATTTCCCTTACCTCTACCCAGCGGTTTTGGGTCTCCACTCGCATTTCTTTTATCTCCTCACCAGCTTGCTCAAACGAAGAACTTCTTCTTTTCTTCCCGGATGAAGATGTAGATTTTCCAGCAGACCCGTACCTCCCTCCTCCCTCCATTCCCGCAGCAAAAGTTTTTCAAGCTGACATCTAGAAAAAAATGGTCGGGCTCCTTCGTATCTAGACGACATACGACGAAAAAAATCCACACACGTTTCATATCTGATACTAAAACATTTCCCTCCTTGTCGTGTGGCCACAAATAGTTCGGGAAGCTCTCCGGGTCATTGTTACCAGACCTATTGTAGTACTCAAAGCGTTGAGTAAAATCGATCGCGTCCTCTGGTACACATCCTTCAGTCTCTCAGCTGACCTTGCGCAAAGGGGAGGGTCTGCGGAACATACATCTGGTACGGAAGTTGAAAAATCTTCTTCGTACGATATAGATGCATCATTGAAGCGCTTCGCTATTTCTCGCCAAAGATCTTCTCGAGTGAAGTTTGCACGAAAATCTTCCAACGTAAGCGCATTGTTTAAATCTAAAAGAGCTTTTCGAGCATGCGAATCATCACGCAAAATGACACAGAATCTCGCAAACTCAGAGAGCGAAAACAATGGAGCGTTCTTGGTGGTCGTACTTTGCCGAGATTTTGCCTGTGCTATTTCCCCACCATCTCCGACGCCGCGGTCCCCACACTTTCTTAGAGCCTGTACAATATCCTTCAATGGAGGAGGTGAATCAAAATCATCCACGCTTCTCTCGCAATCCTCAACAAATTTATGAAAGCTGCCACATTTTTTGTTTGATTGGCACGTCAACTCAAATGTATACCCATCGTTCCCCCTGTGCCGCACAAACAGATAATTGCGGTAGACGATGTGCATTTTGTTACCCCAAGTTCTCAGTTTCCATTCCTTTGCTATTTCGGCGTTGGCCTTTTTGGTCATTCTGGAAAAGAACGTAAACGTTTTCGTACTTTCAGGTATGTCTTTGACACATGTATCTCCATCTGCCTGTAATAAAGCCCTCGGGTGCAGTGGAGAGGCACTGTCAGTGTAACTTGAGTAGCCACATCGCGGTTCTTCCAAATTGGACGGTGGTGTGGTTATTTCATCTTGCAGCGCTTTAGAAAGTACAGTTCGCCTGGGAGATCGCCTTGGAGATCGCCGTAGGGATGGGCGTGAGACTGGCGCAATATCCATCACTTTGAAGGGGAGAGGGAGGGTGGAGAGGAGAGAGAGAAGAAGGAGATTGGGGAATGAGGGGATTAGGAGAGGAGGAGAAGAGGGGTCAAGGCAAGCAAATGGGCTAGATGGCCAGTGCAGTTGCAGTGGTGGTAGCCTGCTCATTCTGCCATGACCTTGCCACTTCCGCTTCATATGCTGTCGTGGAGTTGCTCCGTGAGAGTGCAATCCGGATCGGACGCGGAAAGTATTGTACGGTTTTCTTGTTTCTGCTCTGCTCACGACGCTTCCCGTGGCCATTCAGAGAGTTCCACTGGCCCCTTCTTCTCCTTGTGCAGTGTTGTGCAACCAGAATAAGGACCAGTAGCGCACCTGCACTTGTTGTGACTCTTCGCTACTTACAGTCAGGAGATTAAGTTTAATGTCAAAGATTAACATCGAACTGTCCAATGAACAAAGTACAAGTTATAAGTGGTATGATAGGGAGATTCGGGTAGGAATCATCCCGGACTCTGGAACGGGTCTGACAATCACATGCGTTTCTCTACAAGATGGCCTTACTTTTCAATATCTCTCCTGCGGCATCCAGCAATGAACATACCCCACTGTGCAAAGTTTGACCGTTTTTGGATGGCAGGAAGTACTTTTTTTAAAATTTTATGAAAGTAGTTACCAAATCAACCTTTCCGGGAGTGGTACCAACGATACCGCAACTCATACTCTTCAACATCATCTTATAGATGTCTCGGACATTTGCCAAGCCCTTGCATGACCGCAATACAGCCTGTCTGCTTCATAGGGCTGCTTTCTGTGTACTTCTGCTTCAGCGTGCGAGCCCACTTGTGCCTGGCCCAAAAGCTTTCATGTTCCCCTGTACTGTTTATACTGTGCAGCGCAGACCTTTTGGTTGCCCTGTTTGCTCGAAGCCAAAGCCATATCCTCTCATTGTTTTGAGACAACTTGACAGATGTTGTACACTTGATACACATCTTATCCACAAACACACCGCGAGGCGGAAATACTGTACACGCAGGCGAAGAAGACTCGCTGCAGCTCGCGCAGTCATAAAACCTTGTAATGCAAGATCCCACGTTTGTAGTACATAATGTTTTCAAAGCGATAATCTTCAATTAGCAAAACTCTACAATACGGTACCCTCCCCTCTCCCAGCTTACGGCTCCACTATGTAACCCTCAAAATCCATCACTTCGCCGGCCTCGACAGAGTCTGCGAGCCACTTCTTCTCCACATTAGCACACCCCCCGAGCACATGCGCCCCATCATTGATCACAACATCCATTCGAGTTTCCGCGATCCTCCCCCCGCACAGCTTAACCAGCTTGCGGATGCTGGCCGCGTCCTTCTTGTCCGACAAAATTTTGATGCGCTGCCCCTCGAGTATCCGAACGGTCGTCGCCCCGGCCTCCACAGACCTCGGTGACTGTCCAAACTGGTCGCTTCTGAATACATTCATCGCTTTCCACTTTCCCTCGGAGATAGAGCTTGACAGCCAGTCTTCCGACACGAGCGGCACCCCACACGCGATCGCTTGCAACAAGCCCCACCCCCTCTTGGTCTCCTTGCCGACGATGTAGGCTTTGATCTCGCCTTCGGATTCAGGACCGTATGAGATGATTTCGTACTTGCCCAGTTGCTGCACCGCATGCTCGAGAAGAGCGGAAGCATTGCCGTCGCGCGAACTACAAGCCAAGCGACCCAGGATGGCTTGCTTGGCCGGGGTGCGTGCGACCTCGCCCATCTCCTCGTCAGAGTCCGACGAGCACTCCTGGTCGTCCTCTGAATCCGGGACCTGCATGTCTTCGTCCTCGTCCTCTGATGACTTGGCCGGCGCGGCCTTGGGCTTGGGCTTCCTCGCCTTCTTCGCTGGTTTCTTCTCCTCCTTGACCTTCTTTTTGGTATTCACAGGCTTTTTCGTCTGGGCGACCTTGGCGGCCGCGGTGGAGGCCTTCTTGGAGTAGGTTTTGACAACGGACGGCTTCTTTTCTTTAGTCTTCAGGAGGGTCTTTTTGGGGCTCTTCTTATCGTCCTTGGAAATTGTCTTTTTCGGCTTGGACACTTTCTCCTTGTCACCCGTTGCTTTCACCTTCTTGCCCTTCGCTGGGGACTTGGTCGGGGACTTTGCCTTCTTCTGCGCTATGGGGACGCCCTTTCCAGACTTGGACACCTTGGACACGGCTTTCTTCCCCTTCGGAGACGTCTTCGGCGAAGCGCGTCCTTCTTCCTTGCTCTCCTTCGGCAAGACGATCCTCTTCCTGACCAGAGCGGTAGCCTTCGGCTTCGGCTTCGTCTTGCCCTTCTTCGACTCCTTCTTAATGCTCTTCCCGGCGGCGTCTTTCTTCTTGCCCTTCTCGGCACCCTTAGCAGGCTTGGCCACCCGCTTGACAACCGGCACTTGCTCTTCTTCCTCCTCTTCCTCTTCCTCCTCCTCCTCCACCACCTCCTCCTCGCCAAAATCGACGTCGTCCTCCTCTTCCTTGACGTTGTCAGCCTCCTCGATGTGCTCGACCAGCTCCCCGACACTGGGGGCGTTCTCCTCGGGCGGGCGATCCGGCAGCTCCATGGAGACCTCCTCGATGTCGCTGTCCTGCACGGCCTCGGGGGCCGGGGCGTGCGCGGTGGGGGCGAGCGCGGAGGGCACGGACTTGACGGGCTCCTGCGTGTCGGCGTCTCTGACGGACTCTGCGGCGACGCTGGGACCCATGGGGGCGCGGTGCGGGGCGGACAGCGTGGCGGGCGGTGCGGCGGGCGGTGCGGCGGGCGGTGCGGCGGGCGGTGCGGCGGGGGTGGCGTCCGGAGGAGTGGCGGTGGCGGCAGGCTCTGTCTCGGTGGGCGTTGCGCTTGAGGGTGGAGTGAACATGGCGGGCGCGGTGGGGATTCGTATATATGTAGGCAGAAGCGAAGCGTTCGGACCCGGGCTGCGGTTCGGTCGGCGAGGTTTGTGTCATGGCGGGTGCACAGGGGCTCGCATTTGAGCGTTTCCCGCCAAATGGGTTCGTTTGAATCGCTGCATGCCAGGACGTACATTGCTGTGCGACGTACTGTCCACGTGTCCACGTGGTATAAAGAATTCGAGACAGCGCGTTTCTTGTTGATTGTGAAGAAGGGCGCAGGCTTGGACAGCGTTGTTCACACCGCGTCCCGTCCCATCCCTCCGTCCGTTCCTCTCTCCTTTGCTCGCACCGAGGCGGCTGGTATCGGACTCGATGGGCGTGATAGGCTTGCCGCGGGCGCGCAGACGCTTCGGGGCGTACGTGGCGGCGCTGGCCGTGCTGGCGGCGCACGCGTCCGCGATCCGGTTCTACCTGCAGCCGGGGGAGCGGCGCTGCTTCACGGACGAGCTGCCGTCCAACTCCAAGGTAGGTTGGCTCATCTCTGTTGGGGGTTGTTCCCGGTTGAGCGTAGCGGCGAAGACAGCGCGACTAACCAGGCGGTGCGACGCGGCGGGGGCAGATTTCCGGCGAGGCGCTAGTGGCGTCCGGGCGCGGGGAGATGGAGATCGACGTGTGGGTGACGACGGTGGGCGGGACGGTGCTGTACCACCGGCGGGCGGCGGAACACGGCAAGTTCTCGTTCCGCACGCCGGCGCTGTCGCGCAAGTACCACGCGGACATGATGGACGACGAGGACGAGTACGACTACGAGGAGGCGCGCGCGGAGGAGGACACGTTCAAGGTGTGCGTGGAGCACCAGCAGGTGGGGTCGCGCGCGCACGCGGCGGGGACGCGGCGCATGGTGTCGCTCAAGCTGAACGAGGCGCACGGCCCGGACGGCGACGACGCCGCGGAGAAGGGCGATACCGACAGGCTGGAGGCGACTATGATGGACATGGAAGCGAGCCTGAGAGACATGAAGCTCGACTTGGACCATCTGCAGTGGAGGGAGAAGTGGCTCACAAAGGGGATGCAGAGGACGACCGGGAGGGTGACGGCGTTGGCGGTGTTTTCGCTGGCGGTTATGGTGGCGACCTCGGCGATGCAGTACAGATATTATCTCGGATATTTTAAGCAGAAGAAGCTGTGTTGAGAAGGAAAAGGAAAGGGTTGGGAAGCGACACCATGGCGGTCGATCGACGGGGCAGCGGGGGACGGGCAGCGGGGGACGACGGTGAGTAAAGGGAGACAATCGTTGAGCGGATGTCGCTGTGGACATAATCAACGCGCACGCTGTTGAAATCCCATCCTTGCTGGCTTCCGCTTCCCCGCTCCCCCCCCATTGGCTGTCTGCCCGCGCAAACGTCATCAATTTAACCAGACCGATAAACGTGGCAACGTGTGCGCTCTGCCCCGCTGATCGACCAATCATCGCTGCATTTTTTTTTTCCGTCGAAACCGCATAGTGCACCCGCCGTACACACCTGCACTAAACAACCCACCAATCCCCCGGGGGCCGCCTTTCTGCATAACAAACGGATGCCCACGTCCCAGCCCCCCACCCTGCTCCACCCCCCCCGCGAACTCCCCCCCCTCCCCTCCCTGCCGTCCGCGCCATGGACGCCCAACAACATCACCGCAATCCCTCCCGGGCGTCCGACGCGCTCAGCGCCGCCGTCGCTGAATCCGAAGACGAACACATCAGATGTGAGTAGTCGCCCGCCCAACCCCACCTTGCCCTTCATCCCTCTCCCCCTCCCCCGCGCCGACTAACACCACCCCCAAACCACTATCCCTCTCCCCCATCCCAGGCGCCAAGTTCCGCCAGCAAGAGCTCTGGGCCTGGAAGCCCGTGTGGTCCCCGAAAGTCGTCATCGTCATGTACCTCATCGTGTGCGTCGTCTTCATCCCGCTGGGCGTCATCGTCTTCGTGAAGAGCTCCAACATGGTCGCCACCGCCCGCCTGCGCTACGACAACGTCGGCGCGTGCAGCATCGGCCCCGGCCCGTTCGCCGACGCCGAGTCCGCCCCGGAAGGCAACTGCGTCATCGCCGTCGACATCGACCGCAACGTCACCGCCCCGGCCTACTTCTACTACGGCCTGGTCAACTTCTACCAGAACGCCCGCACGTACGTCACCAGCCGCGACGCCCTGCAGCTGCGCGGCGACGACCGCTCCGAGTCCCAGGTCGAGGACAACTGCAAGCCGCTCGTCACCCTCCCCAACGGCTCGCTGCGCAACCCGTGCGGCCTCATCGCCAACTCCCAGTTCAACGACACCTTCGACTTTTGCACCGACGAGCAGTGCAACGACCAGCTCACGCTCAATTCTACCAATATCGCCTGGCGCGTCGACCGCGAGAAGCGCTTCACCTCGGAACAAGTCCGCGGCAAGGAGGACCTCATGGTCTGGATGCGAGTGTCGCCGTACCGCAACTGGAAAAAACTCTATAGTCGCATCGAGAACAACATCCAGGCCGGCCGCTATTATGTGCGCGCCACCTCCCGCTTCCCCGTCGAGGGCTTTGAGGGCGAAAAGTTTTTCTACATTGCCGAGACAACTTGGTTTGGCGGCGCAAATAAGCTCCTGGGCCTAGCTTATATCGTCGTCGGGGGCGTCGCCTTGGTGCTGTCCTTGGTCTTTATCGTGGCGAGTAGGAAGACCCCCGACCTGGATCTTCCGCCGGAGACCACTGTGATGCTGGATGGCATATCGCCACAGGTTAGGCCAGAGTCGTCTTCGGATGAGGGCACAAGGGCGGTCACGTTAGACGCGTGACTCTAGAGGGGACTCAAGTTGGTACTAGTCGACCAATATTGTATATTGTGACCCGGGTCGTCGTGGTGTTTTGCCATGCCCGCTGGGATTCAGACAGTTTTGTGGCATGTTCCGGTTGTGATTATGTTTTTCGTACAAGCGTGCGGATATGAGCCCATATGTGAGAGCAGTCAATAGTACAAAAAGTAAAAGCTATGATCCCGATACCTGTTGTGCGACGGTGCCGAAGAGGGTCTAGTCCGCGCGTAACGGATCCTCGGAGCGATTGACTATGCAGCCTACAGTCAACAACAGGCAGTCCCCATTAGATTCCATTCCACACCCGGCTCGCTTTCAGGGTATGAGAATTGTCATGAGACACGACAACACAGACAGTGCTACGGTACATGAGAATAGTAGCACTCCCTTCCTCTCCCTCTCTCCCGCTCTCCCGCTCTCCTTCTCTCTGCCCTCTCTCTAACCAGTCGGTGCCACCGATGTCAACACAATATCGACTGAAACGTTACGTACAAGAGGACAGTGCTACTGTACATGAGAATAGTAGCACTCCCTTCCTCTCCTTCTCTCCCGCTCTCCTTCTCTCTGCCCTCTCTCTCTCTAACCAGTCGGTGCCACCAATGTCAACACAATATCGACTGAAACGTTACGTACAAGAGAGAAGATTTTCTAGCGGCGTGACTGTCAAGATGTCAAGCGGAGCACAAATCCCCTCCCTCTCCGCCTGACATATCTTGCTGTACGAGTACTAATTTACACAAAATACAGTGCCGCAGGTGACGAGTAGTATTCTCTCTGGCCCTCGACAAGTTGCCTGCACCATAGATCCGCAACGACCATATACTTGGGCGGTACCCTTTTTTGAGCTAGTCGCGAACATGTGTGCGCGAGTTGCGCAATTTGCATGATGACACAAAGACCAAGTTTTATTTTCAATGATATAAAATATGTACAAACAAGGCGGACGTCTGTTAACGCTAACGTGAACGACCGACTCCCCCACTTCCTTTCCCCATCCCCACCTCGCCACCAAACACTCAAACACACACCATACAGTCCACACCAAAAAGAGAACAACCAACGATTGGCAGAACAAGAGGCAGGGCTCATGCTGACTTTGCGTGCCGTACGCCCGCAGTAGCAATGACCTTTCCGTAGTTGGAATTTCCAGGCGTGGCCTTGTTGACGGTAGCAGCGTTGGAGGGTATTCTAGCGACCGACATGACAGTGCATTGAACCTCTGCGAGCTGAATAGAGCCGCGTTGAGTGTCATTGACATCCTCCTCGAGCCCCGCGGCGGAGGCCGGGAGGATGAGGGAGATGGAGTGGGGCTGGCCGCAATGGTTTCCATGTCGTAGGCGATGGCGGCACGACTTGATACTGTCCATGGCGGCGACGGCGTCGCGGATGAGGACGTACGAGTACTCTGGGATGACAGCCTCGGTGTCGTCGGCACGGGCGACAACGCTGGCGGCGTTCTCGTCGGCCATGTCGACAAACATTTTGTTGGCCTCGGTGTCGATGTCCTTGTCCTCGCGGGGCTCTTGCCTCTGGGTGTCAAGGTCGGTGGCAGGGTCGGCGATGATAGGCTCATCCTTGGTGGAGGGTTCCAAATCCTCCTTGCCATGCGGCAACTGCTCCAGGACCCTCATACAATTGGGCTGCCACGAGTGGTCGGGTTCAGCAGAGTGAGGGCGACGATTGGGCATGACGCGAGCCACGGCGGTGTCCGTCGGGGTTGAGGTCCAAACAGCGGGCAAATTACCGTCCGAGCGATACGACGCGGAGCCCTTCAGCAAGCCTGGGGTACCAACAAATGCACCCCACATAAACATAACGCAGGCCATGGTGGTAGCGGCGCCGGCCATGCGCTTCCTCTTCTTCCTCTCTCTAGGATCATCGGTGGAGACCGACGGGGCATCTGCGGACGACACAGTAAGCACGGATCCCAAGCGCGAAGCGACATCAGACGGGACCTGAGTCAGGCCGAGCATGACCGGTTGACGCTGGTGCTGCGGCTGGTGGTGGTTCTGGTGGTGCTGCTGCTGTTGTGCGAGGGGCTGGTGCATGGGCGGATGCATAGAGGCGGCCTGGGCGACGGCGATGAGGCGGGCGTTGGCGTAGTCGAGGGCGTGGCGCAGGGACTTGTTCTCGACATTGAGGGCGGCGACGCGCTTGCGCAGGGAGGTGGCCTCTGCGCCGGCGGAGGCGAGGCGGGTGGAGAGCTCTGCGACGAGGTCGGGGTGGGGGGCGAGGTCGTGCGGCGGGGAGGCGGCCGTGCGCGGCGGCGGGGCGAGCGGGCGCGACTCCGAGTGGTCGGTCGAGGACGGCGGCGACGACGGGGTGGTGGTGGGCGGCGACGAGAGCGAGAGCAGATCGGTGCAGTCCGACAGCTTCTCGTACGGCGAGTCCAGGCGCGACGGGTGCTTGTCCGTCAGCGGCGGCAGGTGCGGCGTGTCCATCGAGAAGAGGTCCAGCAGGTCGAGGTTGGGCAGATCGTCGGACGGCGACGAGGACAGCGCGTTCAGCGGCGGGAGCGACGTGGCGGCCTCGACCGGGAGGTCGGGGATGGCGTCGTCCCAGGCGATGTCGGCGTCCATGG